CGGAGAGGTAGGACGAAGCAGGAGCTCCTCTCTGTTGAGGCTGAAAGACAGAGACAGACCCCACCCCTCTTCCTCCAAGAGCTGAGAAGATACCCAAGAAGCCTGGGCTCGGGTAGATGTTCTGGAAGCCTCCCCACCTGCTTCGCGAGCCTGTCCGGAGGCCCTGCTCTCCCCCAGCTCAGGGCTCCTAGGCCTCTGCCCTTCTCAGCTACCTGAGGTTGTGGGTCTGAACAAGGCCGTGCAAACCTTGAAACAGCCCCTGCTTGTGGCCAGCACAGTTCTAATAAGGATTCATTACTGGAATCACAGACTCTTTCACCCATTAAATTAACAGGGGTTAAAAGAAAAAAAAAAAGGCGAGAATACCGAAGGTCGGAGGGCGTGAGGAGAGATGGGGCTTACGCAGCGCTGCCGGGGGGAGGGCAGGTTCGCACAGTCTTGCGCGGAGTGGGAGTCAAAGCTCTGAAATGCATGCACACAGTTTAAACTCTATTCCACTTTAAGGAACGTGCGTGATTATTTATGGACAAGGATGTTCATTAGTGTTACTTGTAATAATGAAACGAATTGGAAACATGTTCGATGTCCAAAATTTCCAACAGTGAGGGACTGGTTGAGGAAATGATGGTCAAACTCTACGCTGCGGCCACGGAGGGCATCATGTTATAAAAGATATTTAACGACGTGAGAAAATGTTCATGCTAAGTACACATGGCTGGCTGGCTTAAAGAAAAACCCAGAGTGTTCTGTGTGCTGATGTTATAAAACAAAACAAAGCGAAATACAAAAACAAAAATCCTAGACTGGCAGGAAATACACCAAATCTATAGTGATTATTCCTGAGTGGTGGGATTACAGATGATTTATGGTTTTTCTTCCTGTTTACCTGTATTTTCTGAGTTTTCTACAATGAACATGTATTATGCATATAGTCAGAAACAAATAATCACGTACTTTGCAAAAAGAATTAGGGAATTGGTGGGTGGAAGGGCTTGTCCAATTCGACTTGGAAGGGATTTGGGAACCAAGCTTAGCATTTGGGAAAAAGCCCCTCTCCCGTTCTCCCTTCCCAGGACTCCCGAGAGAGACATTCGTAAATAAAAGAAATGCACTCAGCTTTTTTTTATTTTTAATTACAACTTGCCCAGTAATGACCATAATCACTTATCTCAGGCATTTGTTTAATTATTCAGTCACTAAGTGTCTATTGAGCACCTACTGTGACGCTAGGCCCAGTGAACCCGAAAAACATAGGCCTCGCCCAAGGAGAACCTCAAAACCAGGAGCAGCTTAGGAACAAGGGAAACAAGCACATTGTCTGTAATTTTTAAATTTAAAAATGATGATTCTTAGCCCACATTTATTGAGTGCTTACTGTGTACAGAGGCTAGTGATTGCTCCTGTGATTTCTTTGGTTTTTTGGTCTTTTACTAGATGCAAATAAGATTTATAGTTAAAGAACAGATTTGCTCTGCTTCCCTCCTCCTCCTCCTCCTCTCCCAATGCACCCACATCCAAGTTTCATCTCTTTATGAATTCAGAGTAAAGGTAAAAACGCTTGTTGCACTGGGGTAAGTCAGGGAGTGAGGCTTCTGTCATTTCCCCACCCAAGCAGCTGATCCTGGTGGTAGACAGCATTGGCTTTGGGATCAGACAGCCCAGCTCAGCCTTGGGAAAGTTAATTTCTGTGCCTTGGTTTCCTCATCCGTGTAGTGGGTATATTCATAATAGTGACCACGTCGTACCGTTGTTATGAGGATCTAATAAGATGATATGTACAAGCACTTAGCATGCTGCCCGCACATAATAACCGCTTGGTAAATAACAGCCACTGACGTACAATTAGGTGTTGCTTTTCATCACTGCAGAGGACCAGAAACCAAAAAACTGTGACCAGGAAGCTGAGCTGTGATTACTTTCAAGGCTTTCCCAGTTACACAGGCTGAGACAGACTTAAATTTATTTGTTCAACAATCAATCATTGAGAGCCTCCTGGGTGCCAGACACTGTGCTTGGCTACTTGGCTTCTGTGATAAAGGCACAGGCCCTTCCAACAGGAACCTCACAGTCTAGTGGGGGGGGGTCTTCCCCGGGACCTCAGAAATGGGAGAGGCTCTTGATCACGTGCAGCCCACCTGGAGACAGGAGGCTAGATGGATGACCTCCACAGGGTCCTTAGTTGACCCCACCTCCCCTCCCACCTAAGCAGCCTCCTCTGTTGAGGCCCAGGTCACCAGAGCCATCTACTTCCCCACTGTCAACCCCTGGCCAAACGCCAGGGAGTAGAAAACTCAGCAAAGCCACCATGTTAACCTGGGAACTCCTGGACTGTACCAGCTCCACCCTGCCCTAAGCCTTGTCCTAGGCGCTTTCTAGTCATTCTCCTACAGTATACGTCCCTCAAGGACAGGGACCACATTGGCTTATCTTGACTCAGTGTGCCTGACTCACAGGGAGGGAGGGCCCACTAGGTGCCAGGCTGAGGGGCAGGCTGAGGGGCTGAGGACACAAGGGGACACAGAACAAAGTCCCCACCTCCAAGGAAGTCCCATTCTAGGAGAGCAGCTGGACAGGGAATATGGGAACAGATGAATAAGCAAAATCTCTGTAGACCCTCAAGCAGGGCAAAGTGAGAGAGAAAGGCTGGGGAGCTATTTGAGGGAGAAAGACTTCCTGAGGAGGTGACGTGTGAGCAAAGGCCTGAGTGATGCCAGGAAGTAATCAGAAGAAGGGCATTCTGGGCCGAGGGGACAAGTGCAAAGGCCCTGAGGTAGGGACAAGCTGGGTGATTTCGAAGGCAGCAAGCAAGTGTGTTAGGGGCGTGTGACTGAGGGGAGGGTGGAGGGAGGTGAGGTCTGGGGTGGGCAGTGGCCAGACCTTGCTGACTGTGGGAAAGAGTTTATAGTTTATTTTAGGGAAGCTCAGGAAATGCTAAAATGAAGCAAATGAGGAAAAGAGCACCTGATTTCAGTCCCTGCAAAGGGAGCTGGGGGTGGGGAACAAGAGGCTTTTGAGACCAGGGTTACTTTTTGGGTGTGGGGCTCTCTCCTGGCCCCTTGCTGGGAAAGGAAGAGGAACCTTCCCTTTTCACCTCATCCCAATGTCCTCCTCCATCTCCCAGCCTTGCCACAGTTTCCAGCTTCCTCCACCCCAAATGAGGTTCCTTCAGAGGAGGTGAAAAGACTCCTTAGGGGATGGAAGAATTGTGAAGCATCTGAGAAAAAATGGAGAGAAGAATAAATGTTTTAATAAAAGTTTGGTGGGTGAGATGTGGCTGTTGGGGGGTTGTGTGGTAGGGGTGAGCCTTATAGTGGGGGAGAGGAGAGGGGAGAGACCAGCAAACCCCTCAGCCAGCTCCTCGGAGACAAGGCCTGTTTGTTCATTTTTGTCTCCCCAGCCCTGGTAAGGATGTGCTCTTCACTGGGGCTCGGCAAATGCCTGCTGAATGGATGAATGCGTGCAGGACTGTGACTGGAGAAAACAAAGGCAGAGGAGGAGAAGGAAGGGAGAGAGGACAGGCAGAAATGAGAAGTAGAGGGAGCACTGGATGTCCCAAGGAGCAACGACAATTACTGGCATTTATCGATCACTGTCTTGGCCCAGGCACTTTTCCTGCATTAACTCATTTTAGCCTCTCAACAAGCCCAGGCAGTAGTACTATTATTATCCCCATTTTATTGTTGAGGCAACTGAGGCACAGAGGGGTCATATGCTTTACTCAAGGTCAGCCGGCTGGAGAGTGGCTGGGGTCTGACCCCAAATCCCAAGCCGTTAAGCAGTCTTGATACTGCCCCAGGAGCACAATGCGCCCAGAATCAAAAGCTAGAAGACCTACCTTGCCACTTCCCAGGTCACTACTCCCGACTAGTCCTGAGAGGCTTTGCTGAAACCTTGCAGATTAGGCCCCAAAGTCTACCAGCCTGCAACAGTGTTTACTGGTCTCTGGCATTTCCTTCTAGTTGAATGCATTCTGCTGAATACTTCTTAAAGCTGCTGGTCATACTTTGAATTTTTATTCATTTATTCGACAGGAATCATTTAGCTATTTGTTTACTATAGTGGTCAATTTCTCCTTATCTCACCATCAGAGTGCTTCCCCTTTCTTTTCGGGTCTATCTCCATCCTGTCCTTGTTCAGAAGGGAAAACAGGTACAGTGACCAGCTCAGTCCTGGGATGGGGACCTGCCTGGCTGTGAAAGGCAGGGTCAGAGCTACTGCTGCGGACCTCCAGGCTCAGCCTGGTGCAGCCACCTCAAACCACCTGGGAGGTGGGCAGAGTGGGCAAAGGGAGAAAAGGGGGTTTCTCGAATGGAATATGAATGTCCTCCCCTCAAAGAGGCCTTCTCTATCACTTGGGTGGGGGAAATTAGCTCTCCCAAAATACTCTTTATCCTCTTGCCTTGTTTTATTTTCTTCATGATCCTTTCACTCTCTGAACGTGAATATTGAATATTATTGTTTTAATGTTCATTATCTGCAACCCCTGCCCCAGGTTCATTCTTCACGGCCTATCTCGCTCACTTAAGGATTTATTTCTTGCACAATGGACTGAATGAAAAACTCCCTTGCAAAGAATAAGTGCAAAGCGGATCAAACAGGGAGAACATCACGTTCTTTTGGGCTCGACAATTCTAACATTCTAACTTGCAGAAAAGAGCTAGTTCTTCATGGGAAAAGTGGGAAGCAGACAGGCTCGCGGGGTTCAGAACAGGTGGAAAGTAACCCATTCGGGTTCCTCCTCTCTTGTCCCTCGGCCTCAGCTCCACTTAGTCTTGGGTGGAGAAAGCTTCTCCAGCCGCACAAGGGAGCCGCGAGCTCAGATGCTTCTCCGCAGGCTGCGTCTAGCCGCGCGCGCCAGCGGAGCTCAGCCGGGGCTGTGGGTGGGAAGAAACCGGGAGGGGAAGGTCTGGGGGTGTGAGGGTGGAGCGGAGCCCGGCCCCGCGATCCGGCCCGGGTTTTGCATGCCACCCACTCGCCCGCTCGGCGGCGGAGAATTCCATAATCACAGCGGGCGAGAGCGGAGACTGGGAGCGAAAAATCCAGGATCCGGCAACTTTGGGCAGCGCATGCGCGCCCGCGGCGCTCCATCCCAAACACACACACATTTTTCCCCCGGACTTGGAAAGTCACCCAAAGCCGCCCCAAGTGCAGGTAAGAGACTCGGCGCTCCCTCCGCCGCGGTCCCCCCACGCCCCTCAGCTCCGCGGGCCTCCCGGGGTGCTTCCCTGCCTCGCCTCCTGTCCCGGTGCAGCCCCCCACCCCCGGGGCTGCCGCTTGCAGCAGCAAGCGGGCGAGCGAGCGAGCGAGAGAGAGAGCCAGCCAGCCAGCCAGCCTGTGCGCGGCGGCTGCCACCCAACTCCGGCCGTGCGGGAGGCAGGGGGCACGGAGGGCTGGCAACCGGGCGCAGGGCGGCGCGTCGCCCGCTGCGGCCAGGGAATGCCCAGCGCGCGGCTCCGGGGGAGGGGAGGGCTGCTGCTCCTAAGGGTCACTTACTCCAACTGAGGGGGCGGCGGGGTAGGGGAGAAGAGGGGGAGGTGCCAGGCACGAGTGCAGGACTTTGCAAATAAGGTGGGGGCGCCTCCCGCGCTGCCGGCTCCCAGGGGCTGGGGGGGCAGGTGCTCGCCAATACCGGTAATCACTCCTTCCCCCTACGCACCCCCCTTCCCAGCTGCAGGGGTTTGTGCGCTCTCCTGGGCAGAGAAGGAGGCAAGGGTGAGGGGCGCCTGGGGTGACTTTGCAAGACTTTGCTCGAGGGAAGGGGTGGGTGGGGAATCCCCTCCAGCCGACTCTTGTGCCCCAATACCAGGGTGTAGGTGCTACCGGCAGAGGTAGGCAGTGTTCACTTAGGCGCGGGGTGCCAAGGGGTTCCTCCTGATGGGAAAACATAGACAAGAGGTTGCTTGGCTGGGGGGAGCGGCGCCCCTTTTTTCATTTGTGCCTGGGAAGTTTGTCTCAAGTGCGCTGCTCCGGGCGCGGCAAGTGGCGCTCCTCATTACCCCCACCCCCACCCCAGCCTCCCCGGGTGCAGGGGTGGCAGTGCTGGGCACAGGGAGCCTGGGTACCGGCTCAGGGCCGTGTGGCTGTCGGCCGGGGCCCGCCTGGGTCCGGGGAAAAGTTCGGGGGAGTTGCCGCGGTTGTTGTGTGCGCTGGGAGAGAAGTTGCGTTCGGGGACGTGGGACGCTGGGCTGGCGGGCCGGCGGGCCGGCAGGCCGGCGGGTGGGTGGAATAGTGCACTCCCAGGGGGCTGTGCCAAGGTGGGCGAGGGTCCGGCGGGGTCTGAGCTCCCAGGGTGGGCTGAGGGCGACGCCGGAGCGCAGCAATTGAGGAAGAAGAGCCCTGAATCCAGGGGCGCACGGCTGAAGTAGGCACCAGGTGGAGAACAGAGAGAATGGTAGCTTGTGGGAGCACAGGGGGCACCAAAAGGGAGAGGGCCGGTGCTCCCGGTCAACTGGGGTCCAGCTAAAGGGCAAAGGAGCGCGTGGTGGCAGGCAGAGGAGTTTCGGGGAGTGGGGTTCCAGGGGGCTCGCGGGAATGGGGGATCGGGCCGGACCGACAGTCAGAGAGCTCCCGGGGCAGGGGGCCGAGTCGTGCGCCCGGGGTGAGCCGGCCGGGCGGAGTGGCGGCCGGTTTATTTTTACTCGGTGGCATTTGCAGAATGTGCAGCTGATGGCCGTCGGCCGCCAGGAAGTTTTGCTTTCTGTTCTTTCTCTCTTTCCGAAGCCAGCGCGGCCGGGAGCGGGCGGCCTGGGGAGCCGGGCCTGGAAGGGGAGGGGGCGGCCACTGGGGTGGCAAGGTCGGGCAGGGGCGCGCTGGGGCGGCGGGCGGGGGCTGGCCGGGCGAGGGCGCGGGCGGGCGCTGGGCCGCTGCGGAGCTTTTGGGCGAAAGTCTGTCCCCAGCGTTGGAAGCTCTTCGGCGAGGGGAACAGGTGTATGCGCCGTCAATCACGGCGGGAGGGACACTTTGGGGGCGTAGATTAAGATAATAATAATAGATTTTTCTTTAGCGGGTGGGCGCAGATTCTTCTTCCAAGTCATTCCCGACCCGGGTCCAGAGTTGGGGGAGGAATGGAGTGCCGAGGGAGGCAGGGGGCCGCTTCTCCCTTCCACACAAGTTCCTCCTAACCCAGCCTCAGCTTGGGAAGTCGGCCTTGGGTGCGGCGAGGACCTCCTTCCAGTCACGCTGGGGAGGGTGCGGGCGCGTGTGCGGTGTGTATGATTTGTCCACCAGGGAAGCAGTAAAAACACCCCTCCAACGAGCCTGGAACTCCCCCAAACCCGGCTGGATCAAGGGGCGACCCGGGGTTTATGCGTCGCTGTCCCTGCGGAGTCTGGCTGGGGCCACGAACCTCAGAATGTGTGGTTGTCCCGCCAACACCCCGTACACTCAAAGAGGTGGGGGCGACAAGGGGGAAACAGCCAGGCGACTACACCGGGCAAAGTTGGTAAATTTAGGGCGCTTCTAAGCTGGTACAGACGCGCGATGAGAGCGCGCGAGGGGACTGGAAAACAGATCGACGGGTAAATTGGTGCGCCCCCCTCCCGCCCACCCCACCGGCGCTCGCGCGCGCGCGCACACACACACACACACACATACACACACACGCCACACACACGTCGCCGTCCTGAAGGGAGCTGTCCGGACTGAGCAGGAGCAGCTGCGCCGGGCGTGGTGAGGGGGGTAGTTGGTCCCCGGGGGCTGCGCCCGGGCTGCGCTCCACGTGCCCAGAGGGGGCGCTGGGCTGCGCTCCACGTGCCCAGAGGGGGCGCTGGGCCGTTCGGCGCCCGAGCGCAAAGCTCGGTGTTTGCGTCCTGGTGGCTGCGAGGCGGTGCGTCCCGGGCGAGCGTCGCGTCCCGCGCCATCTCAGGCGACTCGCATTGCCTCTCCTGACGCCCAGCCGCTTTCCCACTTCCCAAACTTCGGCAATATGATTTTCACCTCACTCGAGCTCTCAGACCCTCTCTAGGGCAAGATGGGGAACTTTTCCTTTCCTGGCAGCGGCCACTGTCTCTCTCCCCGGAATCCGGCGAATTGGAGAGATTGACATCCATCCCCCCCTCATCTTGTTAGCCACCTTAGAGGCGGTTAACGAGAGTTTATGGGGAATATTGTTGAACTTCAGTAATCAGGTTTCCAGCGATCTTATGCCTCCTGTTTAATTTATTAGACTAGTTATTTATTCTGTTGATGATAATCTGTTGCTGGTTTCTATGGAGATGTTAAACTGATCTCTTTCAGAAATCAAACTCCATATGCACTAAAACGTTTAAAGGGGCAGTACCTCCCTCCTCCCCCCACCCCGCCTTTTTTGTTTGTTTTGTTTTTTAGACTTTGCACCTTGCAGACACTTCGCGTTTTTCTGAGTCTCCGTGCATTTTATTTCCGTCTTATGAAGGAGAGGAGCCCGGAGACTTATGCTTTGTGGCAAGTACAGCTTATTATGGCTAGAAGAAAGCCAAGGCTTTGATCCCTAAGTTGCATCATCATTTAAAACAGATCATTTCACCACCACCCTCTTCTCCCCCATCATATAAGAGCAAAATTCTTTCAAGATCAAAGAGTCCAATCTAAAAAAAAAGAAATAGTTAAAAAAAAAAGAGGAAGTCAGTCAAATGTGAACCTCTCCTATATATCTGCTCCCCTTGTGTTTAAAGAATTTTTTGAATAAGAAAAACAAAACTTGTAGCTCAGCTAATTTTTCATACTTATTAATAGTTTATCTTGCCCCCCTCCCTTTTTTTAATTTAAAAAGAAGTTCAAAGTTAGATTTCTCTGCCTGTGGGGGTTGAGGTATATTTGCTTCTCTTTTAGATCCTGACCATCTGTTTTTGGAAAATTAGCCTCTGGGAAGAGGGGAAAAGGAGTTTCCACTCAAACTTAATGGAGTCCTTTAAATTTTTAAAAAATACTTACCCAAATATTTTAAAGTCTTAATTTCTCTATTTTTTAGGAGAATATCAGTAAGCTCTGTCTGGCGTGTGAGAGCACATCAACTTTTTTTCCTTTTTCCTCTTCTCTCCTCAGGTATTCTTCTGTAGACTTGTGACTTTGAGGGGAGTGGGTGCAGTGAATTAAGAAAGTAAGGCCAAAAAAATTATCTTGGTTTGTGACACTGAAAAATTGCAAACCCACTCTGAGCTCAGGTATTTATCACGCTGACAGATACGATACAAAGCGATTGCATTTCCTAATGATCCTCTGGGACTAAGTTGTAGGTAAAACCATTTAATGCATTTTTAATATTAAAGTAAGGCCCAGGTTCCATTTTCTTGGAGGTGGGGGGAGTGAATGTCCCTCTCTGGAGCTTATGCTTTCTGAGTATACTGTTTTACTTTTTCAACTAGAGCCCCCCACCTCCACCCCTTCACTTTTCCACTTAACTTTGGGGAGGGGTGAGACACACAGAGCATTTGGCTTTTGTAAATAAATTTATATCTGCCAGAAGGTCCAATGCTAAATAAGAGCACACTTATAAAAAAAAGAGAAGAAAGAAAAACAAACCTCAGACTCCACCCCTGCTATAGGAAATAAAACAGAAGCATTACTTGACTTTTTTTTTTTTCCCTTCTGCCATCCTGGTTCTCCTTTATATTATTTTATTTTGGAAGAGGGTGGAGTGGTTGTTACTTCTCAGCTCAGAGGAGAGAGGAGCCATTCCTATTATTTCCCTCTTTGCTGTATTTTAAAAATTTGATTTGGATTGCAAACAGAATAAGCTTACGGATAGAAAAGAGCACTGTGGCTTTAAACTCAGGAGTTTGCATATTCTCCTTGTATCTTTCCCCTTTGCTAATTATTGTGTTGTTTTCAGAGCAAATATGTCATATCCATGGCGACCGGGCAGGTTTATTGTCTTTCTGAAGCAATAGCTCACATAAGTAATTAATGACTTTCTTTTTTTTCCTCTGGCTTAGGTTAAACAGATCATTCAAGGAAAGTCATATCTCTCTTCTCTCTCTCTCCTCTCTCTCTCTCTTTCTCTCTCTCTCTTTTTTAGCCCAGTGACATAAGAACATGAGTTAGAACAAGAAAATACTTTAACCAAGAAGTCAACAGCTTATTTTCCCCCATTTCTTTTAAAAGCTGAAGTGTCAGCTTTCAGACATATGAGGCTGTCATTCTTTGAGCCGAGAGCTGCTCAGTCCACGCCTGGG